TTTCTGCATTAAGCGTCATGATCATAAGAGGTAAGTGTTCGTGTTCTGTGAAGAAAAGACAGATGAGAAAGGAAAAGAAAGAAAAAGAACTAACAGCAGGATAAGCATCTATCAGCTGCATGAGCATCGCTATCTGCATGGAGACGAGTTTTCGTGTTTCATCAAAGAAAAGACACAGGAGAAGAAAAAGTAGAGAAAAGAAAAGAAAACCACACCACGCATCTATGTGCATCAACTCGCTATCTGCAACAACCATCAATCATCGACCATCAAACCATGGAGATATGTGTTCCATGTTTTGCCAGAGACGAGAGTACTTAGGCACAAGAATCACTCGGTCTCAAGGAGCCCATCGCCCCATGACAGCCATCACGGCCTGTCTCTCGAACCCGCGGTCATCTCGCAGATACACCCGGTACCCTCGCAGCCCTCTCATGTCGGTAAACGCCATAAGCAGCCGGCGCAAATATCTCTTGCGGTTGTCCATCGTGTACATTGACGTGGCCCGGCCCTGGTCATGGATCTTCAGGGTTAGGCGCGCTAGATCAAAGTGCTCCCGGATGAAACGGCGCAGAACTGCCCAGTGCCGCAAGTTCGCGTCCGCGGAGCGGGCTCCCGTCTGCGGGGTGGCCCGAAAGCACAAGGGAAAGTGGAAAGTCAAGTTCTGCACCAGTATCGTGGATTCCGTGGGTATGCCACTCAGAAAGCCCATGGTGTAGGTCGGATCCTCCTCCACAAACATAAACTTGTTGCGGCCCCAGAAGACCTGACGAGCGAGCTCATGGAACTCCCGACTAACCAGGAAATAGCGCAATGGCGAGGCGAAGCAGGTGCAGCCCGTCGAAAATACCGTCTCGGTCTTATCACAGAAGCAAATGCCTCCAACCGGCGAGCAGGTGCCACAGCAAGATTTGAAGCGCAGACGGTCGCGGTAATCCAAGACGATCAGGCCCGGAACAGGATCGGCCATGCACGGATCGGACCGACAGATGAGCAGGTGCCCGAGCACCATCAGCTGAAGTTCCCGGGGCAGATACATGAACGGAAACGGCGGCACATCAAGATTGTCCGTCAGGCGGCGCGCCGTGCGCTTCATCGCAGGCAGGAAACTATAGATCTTATCCTGATCATTGCTGAAATAGAAGGCACACTTGAACAGGCTGGGAAACGGATCCATATCACGCATCACACGAACAACCACTTCCTGCTCATAGGCTTTGCATTTGAGGCTGAAGTATCTGAGATTCGGCATGTCGATTGCCGCGAGCTTGCAGAACGCCGCCCACCACGTCAACAATGTTTGGTGGGAACCACCCGCCAGCTTGAGCGTTCGGTTGTCCTTATGACCGAGATCCACATGCAAGTACCGAATATGTTCCATGCCCCATTGCAATGAAGCCTCAAAATTTTTATAGTCTGCCCGGCCGCGAAGAAACATGCTGAAGCGATTATGGGAGAAGAAATAGGCACCGGCCTCCCGGCGCAGGGTGTGACACGACAGGAACAACTGTGTCGGCAGCTTTGGATGGTAGCAGCGGCTGAGCGGAAGCCAAGGGCTGCGATGCGCTCGCAATTCGGTTCTATGACAATAAGGCGGGTCTCGCTTGATGCGGTCCCGCTCCAACGTAAAGTCGATGATACAAGAACGACGCAGGGCAGCGAAGTCGAAGATTCTATTTCTGATATTTTCTGGCAAATCGAACAGTGTAGGGCCCTTCTTTGTGACCTCCATGCTGACAATGTGAGGAACAGACCTTCGGCAAGTCCCAGGTGGCGGCGGTATGGTCAATTGAACGGTATCGAAAGCCAGTATTCAACTGTCGTCCTCGATGACACTGATTTCCATACAACCTGCACATAATCGGACCGAGTTAGTAGGTTCACCGTGTCACACAATTAACCTGATGGATGAACTTACGCTTAACAGCGCGAGTGAGAGCTTAACTCGAGCCGAGCTAGCTGTTAAGCACAGCGATGAAAGTCTTGACAACGTTATCGAAGATCAACGGAATACAACTTGATAATTTGACGGAAGAGATGTCTGGTTAACACAGGTAAACACACGGTCAACAGAGGAAGAAGGCTGGTCTGGCAAAACAGAGTGGTTGTGTTTCCCCGCCAAACAATTGAAACAAAACATTAAGAGTGACTGACGAGTTGCCTGGGGCATTCAATCTCATGACTGGGTTCAACTTCTACTCCTGCTCGACCTTCACCTTTGGCCCCTCCTGCTTCACAGCGTCTCGCTTTGGTGTTACTAGACCCCTGATTTCGCTCTTACAGAGCTTGGTTCCTGCAAGATCGCATTCGCCGCATCTCCGAGCTACAGGTAAGCAGACTGTCTGTCCTAGGCCGACCAGCAGTTTGTTAATCTCGTGCCATTTGTCTTTCGGTAGCCACGATTCCAGCGCCATGCGAGTTTCCTCCGGATTCTTCGTCTTGTGCCATCCCCAGAGATTGGTAATGCGATGAACGTGAACATCAACGCCAATGCCTTCGTGCTTGCCCCACGCCGCGCTCATACACAGAAACGCCATCTTCGGACCGACGCCAGGGAGCTTCATCAGTTCAGGAGCAGTCGACGGGATATCAGAATCGTATTGATCGCGGAGGATAATGGCTGCGGCCTTGATATACTTGGTTTTGTTGTTGTGGAAGCCCACCTTGGCAATGAGCTCGTTGAGGCGCTCAGGAGTGACGGCTAGGATGTTCTCCAGGTTCAGAGTGCTGTCCTTGACCTGGTCTGTGGGCTTCCAGTCATACTCTTCAGGCTCTTTCTTCACGATGCTCGTCGACTGGTCTCCAAGCTCCGTGTGCAACCGCTGCATGGCTACCGCCGTGACCGTGTCTTTGGTTTGGGATGACAGCATCAGTGCAATGAGAGTCTGGAACCGGCGATCGCGCGGAGAGGACGCACGCCAGTAGAGTTCAGCACAGCCCATGGTGTCAACGGGTGCAGTGGGATTTGCCTCTCGCATCTTCTTGACCATGTCATACATAGTTTCCCAGTTGGAGGGGGGCTGCATGGAGTAGGCGCCATCCTCAGTTTTGATCTTGCGTGCGGGCGTCCGTCGTGCTTTTGACGGCTTTTCAAGTGGTTCTTTCTTGACAGGTGCTTCTTCGATAGAAGTCTCTGCCTTGACAAGAGTCTCTTCTTTGATTGGAGTCTCTGTCTTGACAGCTCTCCGGCTAGAGCGCGCATTCGCCCTGGTAGACGTGGCGCTCAACGCACTCTTGCGACGCTTGGCCGGCGGCTCCATGATATCCTCGATATCAACCGTCGGCACAGACGAGAGCGACGAGGTATCATCATCACTGACAGATGCATCCGGGGCAGTAGCACCCCCAAAAGCAAAGCCCTGAAGGCGACCAGCAGCCTGAGCCGAACTGCGAGTTGTTCGTCGAGCAGGAGGCGACAAAGCCTGCAGCACCTTGGCAGTTTCTTTAGATGCCCGAGAAGTGCGCATGTTGATACCAGCTCTAGCTCTAGCTTAGATAAACTGTACTCCGTGCCGTATAAACAATTCTTCACATGAAATGAAACCATGTAGTAAATCCGAGATCGACTGAAATTAGGCTCAACAAGGGGCGAGCGACTCAGTGACGGCGGATTACACATGGGGGTTCGGAAGCCGAGACCGACCGGAAACCAATCAACCGACGGGTAGTCAAGACCCACGGCTGGCATTGAGCCTCGGCGCGACACGAGCAAGCACCGCACCGCACCCGCACCAGCCACCGCGACATCCACCTTATCTGCTTGCTTGCTTGCTTCCTATCTCCATTCATCCAACCAACTATCAATCATTCCTATCAATTCACCCCTCCTCCACATACCAACCTACACACATACACACAACCTAATACCCTCCCTCTTGAAAGGTATAAAAAGAACATGGCCTCCTCACAAACAACGCACCGCCTCCTCCGCGAACTAAAAGACTACACGAACTCCCCCAACGAAGCCCTCCTACACCTCGGTCCCGTCGACGAAGACGACCTCCTCCACTGGGAAGCAGTATTAAAAGGTGTTCCGGGGACGCCTTACGAGAGTATGCCCCCATCCCCATCCCCACATTCCTCTTTACTCTACAACACCCCCACTAACATCTCTCCCCCTTCCCATGGGGAATGAATGAATAGATGGCCTCTGGACCCTCTCCATCCAAATCCCCCCAACCTACCCCCTCACCCCACCGAAAATCACCTTCAAGACGAAAATCAGCCATCCGAACATCAGCTTCACCACGGGCGAGATCTGTCTGACGTTGTTGACCACGGAGCATTGGAGTCCTGTGTATACGCTGAGTAGTACGTTGAGTGCGATTCATCAGTTGTTGACGGATCCGAGACCCGATTCGCCGCTTAATGTCGATGTGGCGGCGTTGTTGAGGGATGGGGATGTGGCTGCTTGGGAGAGTTTGGTGAGGTTTTGGACCGAGGAGGAGAGAGCTACTTTATAATTATAATTTATTGCGGAGCGCGGTAGCGCGGAGGGATTGGGGTGTGAAGAGTGGGATATATATATATACGACGAGTTGGGGTGGTAGTGGATTATGTGTTGATAACTGTAGTTAAATACCCAGGAGTACGATGTGATACGATTATTTAAGTTCAGTCAAGTTTCACTTGGTTCAGTTGGTTCAGTTGGTTCAGTTGGTTGTAAATACACCAGTCAGAGTGACAATTCTAATATGCACACGCTGGAAACATAGTATGTATGTATGTAGTTGTAAATTTGGACAGGGTCATAAAGAGAGACATGTCATCATGAAAAACAAATTCCTTTTCAACACCATTTGTGAATAAGTTGCAACCATTTATGCAGCGCTTTCAAGGAGAGACTGGTATTTGGACGCCGGAGAAATATGCACATGCTAGCTTGTTTGCTTGCTCAAGGATCGTGAGGTATCATAAAACATTTTCGAAATGTGAGAATAAAATTTAACGCCGAATATGCACTTGAATGGTAGAGTATTGTTGTCACAGGCTGAGAGAGGCTACAATGCCATGGCCACCACGGCAGCTCCTCCCATCATGAGAGCGAACTCGCGCGCGAATCCATTGGCAGAGGCAGCAGAGTCGGTCTGCAGTCCCGGGGATGCCTTGGTGCCGGTGGCCACCTCGCGGGCGGTTTCGGTGGGATGCACGACTGTCACGGCTGTCACGGTGCTCTGCTGACCGTCGGGCAAAGTGGTGGTGATCTTGTAGGTGGAGGTGTACGGGGTGGTGGGCTGGCTGGTCGTGCTGCTCGTGCTAGTCGTATCCTGCGATGTGGAGCTCGTGGTGTGCATGGTGGTCGACCTTGCGGTGGATGAGGTCGAGCTGGAAGTGGAAGTGGACGAGGTCGACGAGGTGGTGGTGGCAGGCACGCTGGTGGTAGAAGATGCTGTCCGAGTGTGAGAGGAGGACGAAGAAGAAGAAGTGGATGAAGAGGTAGAGGCAGAGGTAGTAGAAGACGAGGAGGATGAAGAAGAGGACGCAGTAGACGAAGTCGATGAGGTCGAAGAGGTCGACGTCGACGACGAAGAAGAAGAAGAGGAGGAGGAGGTGGTGGTGACAGGAGACGTGGACGAGGAGCTAGACTCACTGCTACTAGAGCTCGACTCACTGCTGCTAGAGCTGGATTCACTGCTGCTAGAGCTAGATGTAGTCTGCACGGCGGTTGTATGCGCGGTGGTGGCGGCGGCGGTGGTGGCAGCAGAGGTGGGTTCGGCCGAGGTCGAGTCAGCGCTGCTGGCAGAGGTCTCCGCTTGAGTAGTGGCCGCAGCAGTCGCCGAAGTCGTGGCAGGTTCCGTCGCCTGGCTGGTTTCTGCAGCGCTCGTCGAATTGCTCACACCCTGTCGCTTGGCGAGGTTGGCCCGGCTGGACCGTGCAGCATCCTCCTCCACAGTCTGGGCGTTGTCATCTGCGGAATGAAAAACTCCGTGACGGAACCTTTCATACAGATGCAGGGCCTTGTCCTCGAAGCTATTGAGATAGCCGTGGGAAGTCGAGTCGACCACCGAGTTGGCGGCATCAGACTGATCGGCAGTCGGGGCCGCGATAGCAGCGCAGGCGATCAACGACAGCAGCAGGAAGTGAAGCAAGCGAGTGAGGAACGCCATGGCGCAGGATCGATGTAATTGAGTTGGATGATAAGATTCAGGGGAAGAGGGTAATCCGACGATGGATGAAACGGAGTTGACTATAGTTCGATCCGACGCCGAATTGGGTAACGGAGGACTGAGTCGAGATGATGGCAGCGAAAGAGGAATAGGAAGATGAGCGATGGCGGGTTGGCAGATAATAAAGCTGGGCGCTAGCGAGAGGAAGGCTGTGAGGTGTCTCACCCAGAGTCTTCAGATGACACAGTGAATTGGGGGTTGAAGACAAGCCACACCGGAAGGATGAGGGAGTAAGAAGACAAGAGTTGGTTGCCTGGCAGTGGATGGACTGATAAATACTAGTCAACGGGGACAAATGACTGGGCAGAAAAAACAAGGCAGGCCTGGTTCGGCTTGGCAGGTCCGAAGTGGAGCTTCGAGAAAATCCAGTCGGTCGAGATGGACAGGAATAGTATCGGAGACACGTTAGTTAACGATGCTACTAGTTTAGTCTTTCTCAAGTACGGAGTATTCCTAGCACACATTGTGGCACTGCACTGCCCATCCTACCACCACTCGGTACTAGTACGACTTGACTACTTTCTAGTATACAACGATACTCACTATTTGCAGGTACGGATAACCGGAGTTTGGACTGTCTTGGATGAATGGCCCTGAACCTTGGGGACCACTTCTTTGGCTCATCCCAGATGGGGAGGGCAGCAAGCGACGGAGGTCCCAACTAAGGTATTGTCAACGTCAGCATCAGAGTCCAGCCATTGCGCCAATTCCCTTGTAGAATAGCGCTGAATGAATGCGGTACCCCGATTGTCTAGGCTTTTAGGGTCTGCAGTCGACACATACTTGATAGATAATAAATAGATAGATAACTGAGTATTAAAGAGTGAAGGGAGTGAGGGGTATCTTCCCTACCCGCGACCGGAAATGTCAATCCGCCGGTCAACCTGTCTCAAATGTTTCACATTTTTTTACACCCCAAGAAAATTCTATAAAGTAAAAAGGAAAAACGGCGGGAACGTCCCGACTGAAAACCCCCGAAAAAGGAAGGCAATCTGAATCAATGACGACACCATGAAATCAGTGACTTTCTTCTTTTCTTTCCAACTTTACTCTTTTCTGGTGAGAAGAAATTGTGATAGGCGCAACTACTGTGAGTTTATAATGGGAGCACATGGAACTTACCGACGATCTATCTATAGCTTGATCAGAGTTAATTACTATGTATTTACTTGGTTAGTAGTTGTACGACATGGTCTGTTCTTCCCTCCGTCACTGTGACTATTGGCAACCATTGTTTGAGTGGACTCTCCCTTTCGTCAGGGGAAGATAGTTCAATCCTACGGTTCCTGGATCCCCTACTTCTCACGAAACAATAAGAAAAAATAATTCCCCCCTTCTTCAACAGCCAGAACCATGATACATACTCAGTCTATCCCAATTACCGATCGCAGACACTTCCACCATCGGTATGTAAATCCCCTCCCGTCTACCCTGTCAAAACCATCATTCCGGACTCCCGAGCAAAAAAACTAGCAAGAAACCTCTCCGCATCCGGTCAAGTGTCGGCGAGGGGGGCTTAGCTCCGATTAGGTCCCACGCTAAACCACACAGAGCCTAGTGTCCACCGGATCGGGGATCTGCTAGGCTATTCTTGGCTCTGTAGCTGAAGTGGTGCCACTATCACCACATTTTATTGGTTCACAGCTTGGGAATGAGGCTTGCACTAGTCTGTCCCTGGATTAGTGCTTTTGATCCTGGTAGCTCATCTTGCTTCTTTCCTTCAGGCAGCGTTTAGGTAGATGAATGGGTGGTGGCTTTGCCTCGTTGTTCCGCGGGTGGCCTAAGACAATATCTTATAATAAAATCGTAGGCACTGATTGTGAATACGAGTAGGAGTCGCTCCAACGCAGTCAGCCACGGCTTATAATACTCCCGTATCTATACGACGTGGCATCAGCACTGTGTTAATTACATTTACGGTAGCTGGTATCTATTGGCTACTATATTTATCCACGCCTTGCAGCCGGCAGCAGCAGCAGCACAGCGGACAGCCAAATATATCTTCCGGTCGGGTTAGACTGTCTCACTTTTACAGGATGATTAGCAAATCGTACTCTACATGAACCGTGTCACATGTGATAGTCTAGTCTAGATTTGCTGGATAGTATGTCGCCGCTCTTACTGCACCACCTATATTCCAATATTGACGGGACATATTATCTTGTACTTTCTACATCTTCTATACCTCAGCGTCTAATTTTTCAAGAACTACCCTGCAATCCGAAAAGCTTATACCCCCAGTGCAAACAAGTACCCGAAGGTATCATCTCCCCGCATGAATCCACTCACACACCGCATCAGACAATGACAGCGGCCATGGGCGTTTCAGAATCGCCCCAAGGCTTGATGTGGACTCCACTTAGTTTTTTTTTTTTTCTGACAAGTCCGTTATCCAATGGGTTGCATCGCAATTGCATATTCACTGTCCAGACGCTACCAAGCCGAGTCTTCTGTTCCTATTCCAGCCTATTCTATCAGTATAATCCTACTAACATACAGCGCGAACATGAATACATCTCACTGATGCCTTAAAAGTCCACGGCAAGGACAATACATGCCTTCAAACATAAGTTGCTTCTGTTCCCATTGACGCATTTCATGCGACCGTCAGACCAGCGATTCCTCTCGCCTTGCAGTCATCGCCAATGGCAAACTGATAGTCATTGCATCTCGAACAACGATAATATGTCCCATCACCGTCTATATAGATTTGACACACGTCACATGCCATTTCCCCTTGATAGCCATTCAAGCGGAGGATAGATTCGGGAAGAGTAGCGATCTTGTCGGAGCAATCTGACAATATGACCAAAACGTCATGAAAACACTTCGCCCTCCGACCTTCCATGAGCGCGCTTCTTAGATATCCATCCAGTGCATCTTGATCAACCTTCGGCGGTTTGAGTGATGCTGCTATCACCCTGACGTTTCCACGTACCGTCGCGCTCATTAAAGGCGTGCGTCCATACCTGTCTCGTGCGTTTAGATCGCATCCTGCTTCAAGAGTGTCTCTACCGATGCCACTGGGCCACTTTTTATGGCCCAAAACATTGGCACTCGGCCATGATGACACCTAATGTTTGGGTTGGCACCATACCGTAGTAATAACCATACTACGGTGTTTGTATCTCCAGTCCCGTTCGTAATCACTGCGCCATGGATTCGTGTTACCCTTTCACGGAGCCCGGAGGTACAAGCTCTCAGCGCCCAAAGAAGTGGAGATTCATCGGACTGGTCAAGACATTCTATACTTGCGCCTTTGGCGAGAAGCATCTTCACGATGGGCTCAAATTCTCCCCCAGCAGCCCACATTATCGGTCTCTCACCGTATTCAGCCTCAGGGTCAGCCTCCGCACCGTGAGATAGCAGAACACCAAACATCCCACTGTGCACAATCCCCAAATTCAACCCAATCATGACGACCGCCTACTTCCAAGCCCGCATCCATCACCAATTGTCCCCCCCTCTCCGCAAGCCCTGAAAAGCCCCGTCTCGCCCTATCGCCCTGCGACAAGGCTGTGTCACCAACACCAAAATCACCCTCATTCTTTTCCCTTCCCCAGGGCGACGCCTCCCAAGCCGCAACAGCCTACAAAGTCGAAGACCAAGACGAGCAGCATACATACCATTTTCACCGCAAGTGGTTGGAAATACAATAATGGTGGCTGTCGTAAATTCTGAGACAGCTCGGGTTTGCCTCTCTTTGAGCTTCATAGGAAGATATCACTGAGAAGTACGTGGGTTATAACCCTCTCCAGGAGTGGAGAATCTAGTCTTATACTGGGCTACGGGTTCTCCCAGGTTTGCGCCTGCGTTTGGGGATGGTGATAGAACGGTTGCGGAGGCATGTGGGAGTATTCGGCATAATGATAAATAGGCCCTTACGGTTGGTTCACGGAGGGGACATCGACCTGTTTTGGATATTGTAGTTACCTCGGGGGTGGATATGGCTTTGGTGAGGTGATGGTGATATATTGCCTTCTTGTTGTTGACTTTATCAGGTTGTAGCTATTGCTATTATTGCCTCGGATCGGGTATTTGGATCTTGTTCTGGCTGAGGGGGGCAGTAGGTCTGTCTAGATGTTCAAGACATAACATAGATGTAGTTTTTCAAATGGATTAATAGTTTTATGACTCTGAAAACTGTCCTGGTTCATGAAAATAAAACTTAGGCAATCGATTAGTTCTCTGTTAGTAGTCTGAAAGCCACTCTCGGTGGATGAAACTCACTTCGCATGTACCATAGAATCCAGTAATCAACAGTTCACTCCCAATATATGGCAACCGTAACTAGAAGGGCCTGGGTGGCTGCGCGTGATCGTCTTCCTGGAGTTGACTTATTCCATTGACGTTTACACGATGTGCAAGCATGTATTCCCCGAGGCCCCGAACCATCCGGGAACAGATTCAACCAGGTGTCATAAAGTTTATTTCCTGAAGAAGTGTACTAGCTTTGCTACATGCCGCTTTGCCGGGCTCGGAGGTGAACACTCGGTACCCGGAGACCCTCGGGCGGCAAAAATTCCGGGAGCATTGATCAAAAGTGAATGGAAAAGGATAAACAGGGATTGATATATGAACGGTGTAATGTATGAAAAAGAGACTTAATATTTCTTCTGGAGGCAAAAGGTTAGATAAAAAGGTATTTACACGTTCTCACAATGTCACACCTTCCTTCATCGCATCTTTCCTGCTCATACTTCAAAGAAGATATCTCCCAGAAAGCACCATGTCCACAACTACTAAGTGCACCACCGACCTATCTCAAGATGAGGTTGCCTCTCATCATCTGACCTTCAGTATAATCCCACAAATCCCTAACCATCGATCACCCTTCGAAAAAACCAAAGAGGAACCATATACAAAGAGATGCCAGTGTACCACGAACTCCACCTCTCTTCCAAAAGTCAAATGTTTCGTGCAAGCACGCATACCAACCAGTTTTGGCGCAGAGCTGCGGCTGCACGTTTACAAGAATAATGTTGACGACAAGTCACACCTGGCATATGTATTCGGAGACCACATTCAGAGCCGAAGCTTGAATCGAGCGAACAAAGACGAGACACAACTGGACCGAATGATTCGAGGAGCATATAAAGGACGATTATGGCCCGGACAGACCACCACAGATGATTCGCAGTTGAGCCATGAAGACACACCTTCTTCGAAGATGAATCCAACATTAGTTCGCGTTCATTCGGAATGCTATACCGGCGAGACCACCTGGTCGGCCAGATGTGACTGTGGGAATCAACTAGAGGCAGCAGCACGCATGATGGCCACATCAAAGAGTGGGGTGATTGTGTATCTCCGGCAGGAGGGTCGTAACATTGGGCTCGCAGATAAGCTCAGGGCATACAATCTTCAGGATATGGGCCTTGATACGGTCGACGCAAATCTTGCCCTTGGGCGTCCAGCAGATGCTCGGTCGTATGGGATAGCGACCGCCATTCTGATGGATCTTGGTCTGGGGAATGATTCAGGCAGTTCTGGCATCCGCTTGTTGACGAATAATCCGGATAAGCTTGGGGAGATCGAAGGTCCCCATGGGGAACTTACGGTGAAAGAGAGGGTACCGATAATTCCATTGCCGGCAGATTCATCGAGAGGATGGGAGTCCAACAGCATTGAGCTTCATAACTATCTACAAACCAAGGTACTACATGAGTTGACTCGCAGATCTGAATTTTTATACTGACAACGATTAGGCAGACAGGATGGGGCATCTCCTGTGAAGAGATAAAGAGTCTGAACAATGAACCTGAAGAGTTCTCGTGTCGAATAGTTATATTGGAAAGGGAACCGGATGATGTTTCTAGGACTAGACTAGATTCTTTGTAACAATACTTAATAGATCATACATAAGAGATTGCATGTGATAGATATGCAGAGATTCGAAAGAATTGATGTTTGGTTACCTACAGCAACTAGCTTGATCACTTGCTAAAAGCTCACATACTTTGTAAGAATACAACTTGCTTTCACCGGTAACTTTGTTAGTGTGTTCTGCTATATAGAAAGCACACTAAACATACGGAGAAAACTAGTAGTCCACCATCTTTGTTCAGATGTCAGAGATCTAACATCCTGTGGAATAATGATAAGTATATGGCTTACGAATAGGGCATGGTGAACACAAAAAGGAGAAGTAATAATCAATTACTTTAAGCCCATTGACATTCCTGCTGTTCATATCTGACAATTCCATCCAGAACAAATGATCTTTGGAACGTTCGGATTCTGATATCAACTTTCAAAAGTTATAGACCTTCCTTCCGCTATCGAGCAGTCTGCAGAGTTTCCACTCTACTATTGACGACTATCATTTCCGTGTTCGACAGTCACGATCAATATGCTTGCGGCATTTTGTGGACAGGAAGCAGAGGTAAAGCAGCATCGAGAGGCGAGTTGGTTCGAGATTCAAGATGATCTCATGACCATAGGAACCGTTCCAATACGTCCTCCGACGATCCCACTCAATAGGGACTAATCCATTGTTGAGATCTCCACTGGGGGAAGATAGTACTGCTAGTAAAAGCATATAAAATACGATAGTTAGCCGAAACGTCAATGGCAAAGTATGCGGTCCGAGTCTCCGAGTCTCCGAGCTTCCGGGCGAAGCAACGAGCAAGAAGCTCAGCCAGATTGTCACCGAACTGAGTCTAGACAGTGACTTCATCACATCAAGATGGACATCTCAATGTTCCCAGAATGTGTATATAAAACACCTGCTCTCATCCTTCCCCAGATTGCTTTTGGCTTCTACTTCCATCAAGCTTTATCCACTGACAATCTCATATCTCAAGTACTCAATATTCTTTTACTCCAAATTATTCCTACCATATTCTCAAGATGGTTTCCCAACACGGTGTTCACCACGGTATTCACCACGTACACGAGACCCCTATTCAGGAGCTACCTCATATGAACTTCCGTTCGTACGTCGAAGCCCTCAAGCAAGACAACGACCTCGTGGAAATCGACCGGGAGATCGATCCGGACCTCGAATGCGGTGCCATCATCCGCAAAGTCTGCGAAACTGATGACAAGGCTCCCCTCTTTAATAACCTCAAGGGAGCACACAATGGCCTCTGGCGTATCCTCGGTGCTCCCAACTCTCTCCGATCAGGCAAAGACAAGTACGGCCGACTTGCTCGTCATCTGGCCCTCCCCCCATCTTCCGGCATGAAAGAGATCTTGGATAAGATGCTCTCGGCAAAGAATGCCCCACCGATTCCCCCCAATGTTGTCAAGACTGGAGCGTGCAAGGAGAATGTGCTGAATGAGGGAGAGTTCGATCTCACGAAGCTCCCGGTCCCTCTTCTGCACCAGGCTGATGGCGGAAAGTACATCCAGACTTATGGTATGCACGTTATCTCCTCGCCAGAGAAGGACTGGACCAATTGGTCAATCGCTCGTGCTATGGTTTACGACAAGGACCATCTGGCTGGCTTGGTTATCCCACCCCAGCATGTCTGGCAGATGCAGCAGAAGTGGAAGGCCATTGGCAAGGACGTGCCCTGGGCTCTGTGCTTCGGTGTTCCCCCTGCTGCTATCATGGCCTCTAGCATGCCACTGCCTGACGGCTGTACTGAGGCTGGGTATATTGGCGCTATGACTGGCCACGCGATTGACGTGGTCAAGTGTGAGACGAATGACCTGTACGTTCCAGCTAATGCTGAGATCGTTCTTGAGGGCACTATGTCTATTACGGAGACTGGTCCTGAGGGTCCATTTGGCGAGATGCATGGGTATGATATACACAGCTTCCAATCTACACCACTCAATAGATACTAACCCTGCATGCCCCTTGATAGTTACGTCTTCCCCGGTGATTCTCACCCTTGCCCTCTTTACAAGGTGAACAAGATCACCTACCGCAATGGTGCTATTCTCCCCGTTTCAAACTGCGGTCGCCTTACCGACGAGACTGTGAGCCCAACTAATTCTAAGAATCCTCTCGATAGCCCCATATACTAACACGGACTGTCTCTCCGTATAGCATACCATGATCGGACCCCTCGCCGCTGCTGAAATCCACCAACTCTGCAAGGATGCCGGTCTTCCAGTCAAGGAAGCCATGTCCCCCTTCGAATCCCAAGTGACGTGGGTCGTTCTTCAAATCGACGGTGCCAAGCTCCGACAAATGAAGACCACCTCTGAGGAACTTTGTCGTAAGTTCGGTGACTTGATTTTCAACCACAAGGCCGGCTACACCATCCATCGCCTACTCCTTGTGGGTGAGGATATCGATGTGTATAACTGGAAGGATGTGATCTGGGCTTTCTGCACCCGTTGCCGGCCCAGTCTTGATGAATACTTCTACGATGATGTCCGCGGATTCCCTCTCATTCCGTACATGGGCCATGGAAACGGTTCTCCTGTTCAGGGTGGCAAGGTTGTCTCTGACGCTTTGATGCCTACTGAGTACACAACTGGACCTAACTGGCAGGCTGCTGATTTCAAGAACTCATACCCCGAGGCCCTTCAGGCTAAGGTCAATGCTGAGTGGGCCTCGATGGGCTTCAAGGCTGATCATTAGAAAGATGTCATTGGGTTTGTGCATTACAAACAGGTGTGTTGGGAAGGTCCAAGACCAGACGAAGTATCTTTGTCTGAAATCTAAATTTATGTACTCTATAATTATTGCTTCACTGTATACTTCATTGAAAGTCGTAGACAATGTTTTCTTGACTGCAGTTGTTATATAGTCAATTATTAACTCAGAACGTTTTGGTTCAAATAGGATTGTAGGCTATGACCATCTACTACCGACCTAACGAACATATGCCAGTTCTTCAAAATAATAAATTACCAGCTTCTGATGTACATAATCAATAACAATCAATTGTAACTATACAACTACAAAACTTACATTATACAAAATAGCTATAAAACTAAGTACATCCACCACACAACCCCAACCCTACCCCCCACCCTCATCCCGCAGCCTATGCTCCAGCCTCAACTCCCCCGGATCATTCTCCTCAAACCCAAAATTCCAAATCCTTTCAGCCATCGTCAACCGTTCCCTATGCTTTCCCAGCGCATTCGTCTTCGAGCTCCTACTCCCAACATGCTGCAATACACTAGGCGTCAACGCCCAGCGAACCTCCCCGTTCTGGTCGGCGTAACTCTCCGTGAGCATATCCACATACCCGACTTTATTCCTCTCGTACCAGGATACCAGGTCTCCGATGCGGGCCTGTGGAAAGACGAATCCCTGAGAGCAGCAGCCGAATTTAGGCATCGCGTGCACGCCCTCGGGGATTGGGAGCATTGTGTGCCGTCCGGCGGCGAAGAAGAGGGTGATTAGGAGGGGGGTGACCACGAGGGAGAGGAGGGTTATGATCTCGTTCGAGAGGTATCTGGCTGTAGAAGGGCAACAGTATCGGGTTGCTGTGGTTGTGGCCACGATGACAGACACGGCGAGGAGGGAGAAGAAGAGGTAGATGGGCCATTCTTCTGAGTTCCATCCGAGGAATATCTCGGTGTAGAAGAGTCGGAGATATAGCCCTGTGACGATATCTCTATTAGCCTATCTCTAATGGAATATCTGGCATCCAAAGGCGAAAGCATATCTTACACTGCTGACCTCCCCCTTCCTCCTCCGCCTTCCGCTCAGCGACATCCAAAGCCTGCTTAGTCCGATGATACCACCCATCCAAGGCAACAACATCATCCTCCAGCATCACTGTATACGACGTATTAAGTGCTCCACACGCTTTAAGAAGATATGTATAATCAAACAGACCCTTCTCACGAGCGAACTTCTTCGCTTCTGGCGTCTCCAAACTGCGAATATGTTCTATATCCACCACAGCCGGATCATACACAAGCACTTTATCAGCGAGAGCATGCAGCCACGGCTCCATATATGCTGGATGCTCCGCTGGATCAGAATGCGCGATGAAGATGATAAGGTACATGTCTTCTCTCTCTGTCGCGGTAAGGCCCTCGAGAATGGAGCCGACTGCGCCCTGGAGGTAGCGTGCACCGTTTCGAGCTACTGAGGCAATTCCGATGCACGTTGTGGGATGGGCGGAGGCTTTGGTCCGGAATTGCTGGGGGAGGGTGTTGCTGTTGGCTTGTTGGATGAGTTCGTTGGCTTGTTCTGTGCGGAGGGTGGAGTAGGCGGGTTTATATGCTTGGTCTTCGGCGAAGAAGGCGGATGTCGGGTCACGCCAGCATGTTAGACGGGCTAGGTTTATTGCGAGGCCGTAGAGGAAGATGAATATGAGTAGTAGGTGGCATGTGTGTGTGTTTAGAATGATGAGGGAACATGGTCGTAAGAGTCGCCTTGGGAGAAGCATTTGGGGCGTGTTGGATATAGTGTCGTGGGTTGGGAAACATTTGACAGGTCGCAGAAGATATTGGGTTGCTTGAATTAAGTAGTAGTGATATTTGAGAGACCAAATATACTCGCTTGGATGATTGGAAGTACCTAATAACGGTTTAATTTGCCTATAATCTCTCTAAAAGCCTCCCCCGGACTACGCTAGTAGGGCCTTGTAGGGATGAACGGCCCCTTAACGTGAGACTCCTTGAAGCGATGTAACATTAATATAATATCTGGACCCTGAGATGCATGTTTGTGAATCAGCATTGTCTCTCGGTGTCCTAGTGTGCAGAAAGTCCCCCAGGTACGTTGCTACGATATCCCCGTAAGCAGATAGAACAGGTCATAAGGACTCTGTAGGCTCGGGTAGAGACCTCTTAATACGATGTTAGTCCGATATAAGAGGGGGAACATGACGTGGGTTACTCTCAATGGTTCGTTCAGGCTGTAAGCGCTGCTTTGCGACGGATTTTCCCGACAGGGCATCCCAGCTCATGCAAGCCGTTCATCCGGCCCAAGCCACCAAGCCGCTAGATCGGGACCAACTCCATCTAATGCGGACTAAGTGATTAGCACAAGGCACGGGTTTCCAATCATATGGCACTCAAGTGGATGACCAGGAACCGAACTGGTCGGGGTAACAAGGCTGCTACCCCCCTAATGCTGGACGGTTCTCTCCCTAATATCGCATTTTTCAACATCTGCACATTTGGACCTCCATAGTAGCCTTTATCAGTTGAACCTGGTCAGAGGATCTCGGTCTCATCGAACTGATGAACAGCCCCATCAGCAAATATCAAATGCGCGGAGAGATCTTGTCCGTAGGTGTGATGGACTGCGACATCGATTACCGATATACACAAGCCGTCAATAGCAGGAAGATTGAGGTCCCCAACATTATCATCACGGTCACGCTGCGTTCCTCTGGGGGCTAAAGACAACGGCGTGGTCCCCTTAATGTCAACATTGGCGGTTGTGATAGTTGCTCTCAGGACCTGGTCGAGACTTTACCTTGTATAGGAATGTACTGGACTTTGCTCTTCTCATGTTTCTCGATGCCAGTTCTAGCTCCGAGCCGTTTTCAATGTCCACAAAAGCAGCTTTGAGTGCTGTGGGTATACAGAAAGTATTTCCGACCGTCGAATTAGAGTCTCGGGAACTCGGGAGCAGACATGATCGCGAAGTTCATCACCTCGTTCCAAGTATGCTATTTGACCAGCTCCTGGCTGTGCTCCCTCGCCCCCTCCTGCTCACCAGCCAGCTCTCCATTGTGTGGAAGATGCCATGCTCCCCACTATCATGTTGATTACCATAGTTTCTCAAGGCTCGGGGGATGAAGTGGTAGCATCAGCCTGTAATTTGGGGTGATGATATCAGAGACCTCATAGGCAAAGACAATAACAGCAGCGATACAGTCTTTGAGTAGGTTGTCGAGCTTCCAAACGTCGTTGGCATGGAGGCAATTCTCTGAAGCCACTCCGATATCCTCAACATTCACCATGGTATATAGATCTGCTTGTTGAGCGTGTCTTCGAGGGTGATCGTGCAGGGAGTGTGGAGGTGCTGAATGCCGTGAATGGCCTCTCGTCATGGACTCGGTTCGATATGTTTTGGTGAGACTTCAGCATCAGTGTAGGATGCTACAACATTGTCAATATTGACTCTCCCCCCCACCTCGCTAAGGGCAATGTCCGTTAGGCTCCATCCGTAAAGCAAGTAAAATTCACAACAGACCGACGAGTGTTAAAATGGTTTCAGACTGTCGATTCCGCATTTCCTGCCATTTCGTGACCACCTCATTCTTGTATCCATCCACAGTTTGTGTAGAGCGATCAGTGATGCTGTTCATCGCGCTGATCATGGAGAACTCATATACTTCTAGGAAGTACATAGACGAGCATAATGTCTGCGAAGTCCGGGACTTGGAGCAGACCGACCGTGTTCGGTATTCTCAAGGGCGATTGGGATTTCGCTATTATAGAAAACTGTTAGTTATTTATCATTGTTGTAGACGCTTATCAACCCGCACGAGAAAAGAGAAGGAAAGTTGATCAATGGAGATGATTCACTTACCTTTGCTAAATGCAAGCAGGAAAAACAGCCGAGGCGGAACCCTAAGTACTTTCTGGTTGTGGGACGGTAAAGCGGCCACACCCGCGGTGTCTTTTACTATTGAACAGGCAGGAAATGGAGACATGACAGTGTCAGACCTTATGTAATGAGTGATATTGAGGATCTTAGCTTGGGTGACTCGTAGCTGAAGAATGAGTGGGTTGCGAGAGATGTTCAGTAAGTGCAACGAGCGATGATGCAGCTTAGCACTGATTTCGCCAGGATTGTTGTTTAGGAATTTATAAATTCTGAGTACCAAGAGTAATAGGAGTTACCACCCAGGAAAGATTCCCAAATTTCTTCGTGAATGGTTATACTAGTAACTCATCAATTGAATGCTACTTGTAGGTTGGGACTTCTCTCGGAACCATTTATAGCATAGTATATATATATATATCGGGTATTTAATGGATGAATAGTAATAGTCTTCACAACAGAGCAGTACTACAAGTCCCAGAGTAGAAGGTTGCAATGACAAGGCTAAGGTGAGATGTAGTAACCACTACGAGTACTAGTAAATACTCTTCTGAACTGGTACACTACAGATGTATGACCAGGGGAAGTAGAGCTCACGATGTGAAATATTATTAGATGCTGCCACGGTTCCAGAACGAATGACTAGGATTACTATTTACTTTTCGGCATTCATAATATCAACTATAATGTATAACTTCGGTCGAAGGAGATGCTAATGATATATTCTACTATCTTGTGTCGATAATTTCAAGAAACAAGGATGGTATGCTAATGAATCATAACTCAGTCGGGCATAACGTAGTTGAGTGAAGGATACATAAAATGGGATCGGTTCAAATTCGCCTCTACAATAGCACAAAACATGTCATTTCAGTCCTGGCCAGTCAATGAGACCAGCACATGCTCGGAAGAATAGAAGCTGCGAGTTGCTGCCTAAATTTGGCGAGTCCCGTCATTTCTGGTGGGTGGAGCTGTGGTGAAATCTAGACTCTTCGTCTCGGTTGCAGAGGGCTAGACGTGGAGTCCGATGGATTTCTTGGCGACCGATTGGCACACGACACTATACCGACGGGTCTGATAGGTATTTAGCAAGATGTAGCAACCAAGGAGAAGATATTAAGACCCTCTGGATTTCAAAAAGGTGTTTCCCTTTAGGCAACTCGCAGTGAAATGAGGTGAGACCGCGGGTTGAAGTGTATGCCTTAGACACCCAAACACACTCTGTGCGAATGCCAAGAATCTCGGCTCGGTCGGACTGGACCAGTCAAGTCTCAGTTGTTTGCAGGCACCCAGATATTTACAGACAGTATGGCTCGTTGGCTACAGTACTAGTAGTAGGTCTTGTGGGAGTGGACTCGCGCCATATCACATGGCTAACGGTTTTGGGTTCCAAAGCGGTAATGTGCCAGATGCTGAAACATGCCTCTTGATTTGGTTTACCGTTGGAGTAAAGACACACCTGGTTTAGGAAGGTCAGCAGCACACAATGGGCGGCGCTAATCGGCTCCGGCGGGGCCCCCGAATCCGTGCGTTGACGTCAGCTTCCTATTTTTGGTGAGACATGGACTGTCGAATAGATAGTAGGCGCGCCATGTTCTTTGATTGCCTTTGTGATAATGCCGGCACTGAAGCCAGACTGTGTCTATATACCTGTGGCAGCGTCCTATGTGCGAGGATTGAAGCTCGAGATATCCCGAAGCAACATTTGGTTCTCAAATTCTGTCGCGATAATAGGAGTGGATGGCAATTGCCAGAGACATAGCATCCAAGTGAATCCGTGAGGGCTTTCCTTCAGTCCAAGTAAGGGAACCCGTGTCGGTCGCACAAAGTCCATGCGACCAATCTATCGAAGCCATGCCACCACCTCAACTAATTATAGAATCCGACAAGATCTTTGGAGGGTGGAAAGCGCTTGCATATAAAGTACGTAGATGCAATTGGTGTTGGCGCTGGCATGAGTGTCTCAGTAGAAGGAAGGTGAGAAGGCGGCACTGCCGTATGGTCGCTGAAGTTCAACCCAACCACAGCATCTGAGAAATGCCCAGTCGCCCAGAGGCAATAGTTCCTGGCATAGAGTCATGGCCTACCATAATACCATCTTGCCATGACCGCCCCAAGGAGTGTTCATCTTGGCTCTCTACCAACCGTAGTCAAGTAGTATGGCTCTGAGGTAAGAAAGCCACACCAGGTCCCTCTGCAGTGGCGAGACAAAGCAGGAGCCACGTTCAGTGCAGTCGAACCGAAACAGTTGGTTTGTAAATATAATCTTTCTGGGAAACCTTGATGGGACCGATCTTCCAGGCACGGCAGGGAGCGGGAAGCCTGGGTTTGGACCCCAGAAAAGGACGAGACTCCTTTTCCGCTGGAAGGTGCCTTGCTTTTGCTACTAGCGTGTGGCGGCAGGAGAGAATTTATACCCAGCCCTTGAGGTTGGGTAATCAGATGGCTGGCTACTCAGGGATCTGACTAGAATGTCAACATCATTTCTGACTATCTCTTGCCTGTGTTAAAGATGTGAATGGCCCGTTGTGAGCGATGGAATGTCAACCCTTGTAACGAGCAACCGAGCTGGTACGGGCCATGAGGGTCCCAAGGGACTTGCCAGGGACCATCCAGGGACTTTTCAGGGACTGGCCCCACCGGGAACTCTTGGCAGGCTGGGGGCCCCACCCACACGGTCGAAAAGACGAGCAGACGAGCAGCTTTCTTTGTGCGCCTCTCTTGGCTTGCATTCTCATTTGTTCCGGCCAGGGCATCGGACGGGGCCAGTCCCTGCAAAGTGGCCACGGCAGCCTTTCATCGGCGCCTTGGCCCAGTGTGAGACCCTTTTTCGCCCACAGGCGATCTGACGATCGGGATGGCCACAATACAATCTCCCCTGGGACTTCCGCTGACCTGCCGTTTGGGGAGTGTTGGATCTGCCCATTGAAAAAAAGGAAAGAATCGCTTGGATGCTTTCCTCATTGGTCCGTAGCATCTAGTTTGAGCGGAACCAACAATTTCCCACACATGCCGTGGCTGCTTGCAGGCGTAATGTTTGTTTGCTTGGCAAGACCCTGACGGATTCACAAAGGCGCGAGTAAATTACCCCAGTGGATGTCAATAATGCAATGCAGAAGGGATGGTCGGCCTGCCTCTGCCTGCTTTAAGGCGTGTGCCACCCACTCCCTCCTCCCCCCCTCCCTTCCGCTTCCATATTCGCTGGCTGTTTTTGCTCTTTCCTCCTTCACCCTTTCGGTCGTTCAACCTCGTCGCCGCTTTTCTTCCGGCATTCTTCAAATTCCTCTTCAGTCACTCGTTCAGACCTCTTTTTAGTCTCTCGCTTCTTCTTCGCTCGCTGTTCTCTAGAACCATCCTATATCCGGCGCCGCCTGCATATTTCATTATCATACCTTCTCAGTCAATTCTCACTGACAGGCCGCCCTGACACTCATTCTTCGTCTTAATACCATCTGCCTTGTATCTTCTCACCCACATCACCATCTCTCACAATGAAGGGCACCGCTGTCGCGACTGCCCTCGCTCTTGGTGCTTCCACCGCTCTCGCTGCGCCTTCGTCGACCATCAAGGCCCGTGATGATGTGACGGCCATCACCGTCAAGGGCAATGCCTTCTTCAAGGGCGACGACCGATTCTACATCCGTGGTGTCGACTACCAGCCCGGTGGTTCCTCCAAACTCGCTGACCCCATTGCCGATGCCGATGGCTGCAAGCGTGACATCGAGAAGTTCAAGGAGCTCGGCCTGAACACCATCCGTGTCTACTCGGTCGACAACTCCAAGGACCACGACGAGTGCATGAACGCTCTGGCGGATGCTGGCATCTACCTGGTGCTGGATGTCAACACCCCCAAGTACTCCCTCAACCGTGCTGATCCCGCCCCGTCGTACAACGATGTGTACCTGCAGTACATCTTCGCCACGGTCGACAAGTTCGCCAACTACAAGAACACCCTGGCGTTCTTCTCGGGTAACGAGGTCATCAACGATGGCCCCTCCTCCAAGGCTGCTCCCTATGTCAAGGCTGTCACGCGTGATCTGCGCCAGTACATCCGCAGCCGCAACTACCGTGAGATCCCTGTCGGATACTCTGCTGTAAGTCCACACATCAACTCCACTACCAATTTCAGTTGGAATAGATACTAATGAGGACCGTTGATGCAGGCCGACATTGATACCAACCGTCTTCAGATGGCTGAGTACATGAACTGCGGTACCGACGACGAGCGCAGTGACTTCTTCGCCTTCAACGACTACTCCTGGTGCGACCCCTCCTCTTTCACCACCTCCGGCTGGGACCAGAAGGTGAAGAACTTCACCGGATACGGCCTGCCTCTGTTCCTGTCCGAGTATGGCTGCAACACCAACAAGCGTGAGTTCGAGGAGGTCAGCGCTCTGTACGACACCAAGATGA